AGGCGATTTCTTCATGGGCAAGCTGGAGGAGTTTCAGTTAAACGACCAAATCATTAAGTGAAGGTACTACAGTCGGTATGTTAGGACATCTTTACAATTGCCACCAGAGAAACCAAAGCAACCAACCCCATGGATGCTGTAAGTCAAGTACATACTTCGATAAAGTTTGCAATGGAGGTGGAAAGGGCAGGCTCCCTGTCTTTCCCAAACGTCTTTCTAAGCAGAAGAGCTGACGGCAGCATTCAAAAAGCGCCTTTTGGAAGGGCACCTTGTCTGGCAGTAAACGAATCTCTACTGATTCGTATCCCCTGAACAAAACGTAATCTAGTTCGCTGTTTGGCGCAAGAGGCTAAAAAAATCTGTTCGGCAGATAGCGTTGATGAGGAACTCAGAGGAATCCAGGACCTACTTTGCGGGAACAGGAATACTGACAAATTTATTGTAAGCAATCTTACCAAACGGCCGGCAAAACTCATCACACCGACGGCGGAAAAGAAAAACGGTGTTCCTCAAAGTCTCCTTTCAAGGGGACGCGGCAAGTGGACTCCTGAGAAGGCGTCTTGAACAAACCATTTCACGCGCCATCCCGGCAGCAAGAGTTCTAGCATTGTTCTCGACCAATCCCATCTTACGCAGAAAGGCAAAAATAGGCTACCAACTCAGACCAACTCCAAGTGTATTTACTCCTTTACTTGTTCCTATAGGACAAGCTATATTGGCCGTACAAATCGGCGCCTATCCACAAGAAGCATTGATTTCAAAGAAGATGTGAAGAAGGAGCTACTTGCGCCTAAGGAATGCAAGTCTCTGCCTCCGGACAAAATACCAGCAAACGTCCTAAATGGGTTTGCCTGTAAACTCTTTAGACAGCTATCGCATATTTTGCAGTTATCCTTTGACGGAGACATTCTCCGCTCCTATTGAAAGGTGACAAATATATACCCCATTCAAAGGGTGGGCCAAGGTCAAGTGTTACCAGCTATTGGATGGAAAGCCTGTCACGAATTTGTTGCAAAGTTATGGAAAGTATAATAAGAAAACTACTACAAAATTCCTTGAAGAAAGGGATTTCTTCGACAGTTTTCAGCATGCCTTTCGACGAAACCACTCTGGTTTTACTAACATGTTATATTCAGTGGAGCAGTGTTCCCGCCCGTTAGATGAAAACACAATGTTGATGTTGTCTGCATCGACTTAAAGAAGGCCTTTGACAGTGTTCCACACCATCGGCTACTCTACAAAATCCGAGATTCTGGGATAATGGTGAACCTAATAGACCGAATAGGGAATATCTGATGGGCCGATCGCGATCCGTATGCACTGACAATACGAAATAAATGTCAGTGCTTGCTGTGATTGTAGTACTTCGGGGCCCTGTGCTCGAGCCATCACTGTTTCTAGTTTGTCAGTGACTTCATGAATGAACTTGACTGCAGGAATTCACATGTGCACATGAAGTCAAAGTACGACAAGTCAGAAAATGCAAAATTGACGAATGAACTCTAGAAGAAGGACTTAACCGCCAATGTGATTTGTTCGATAAATTGTTGCTGAAGTTTAAGCCTGAGGCTAAAAACAAAGGGGAGAGGGCAGACAGAGAAGCTCATCAATACTTCAGCTGACGGGGGTGTCGTTCAAACGTAACTGAATAAAAGGAATCAGAATCGCTATTTGTCAACACCGAAATTGTCTTCTCAATGCGGTTGGGCGGCTAGAATGGCAACCGGCGTTCTCTACGCCATTGATAGATGTAACTAATGATCTATTTCGGGAAGTTTACGAAGCCCTCGTTCATTCGCGACTACGATATGCGATCTAGATGACTTAAAAATAATCATATGTCTCTGTAGAGGGTTAGAAGGGGGACTGGCAAAAGCTTAAAGAACCTATAGTCTTTATCATACAAACGCATACTTGATGCGCCCAACATATTTCCTTCTGAGTACAGGCAGATTCGTGGAGACCACATGAAGCTCCATCGGACTGTGAGTAGTCAGGACAGTGTTCTGCGTTTCGACGATCTCTTCCCATTGGCCATAATAGCTGGCCTTGCGTGGGAACTCCTTTAAACTTCGAGGAATTTTATTCCACCTGGACGTCCTTAGGTGCTCGTATACGCGGCGAGTTTTCAGTACCTGGAGCGGACCCCCCGGGGAAGTACTGATGGAAGGCTCATCAGTAACTCTTAAGCCAGTTGAAGTCACTTTATTATAGAAATGAGGTTTTCACCCTTAAACTCCCTAATCATATCCAAAAACAGCAATAAAATCGATTGTTACATAAGTAAGTCTGGGAATTCAAAAGCTGTCTTAAGTGCGAGTCAGGCGCTAATTGCCGCCGTTAACACAATTGCAGTTATATGTGCAGTAGTCTCCCACCAAATGAGCGTCTTATCTGCATATAAAGGGTTCAACAGTTTCGAAAAGAACCATCGCGTCAGGGAGTCCGTCCCAAGCCCCAATGATCCTCTGCGAGAAGGCTTTCGTCGGACGTCTGTATGGGCCAGATTCCTCTTAAGTTTATGTGGACGACTCCACAGACGGTTCGTCTTAGCCAATTCGAAGAAGTCGTCAAAATCTTGGACACACTCATGGCCCCTGACAGTCCGTCAAGTTTGGATGAGATCGCCGCGGAGTTACCTGTAATTGAAAGGAAACAAATTTAGTTCAGCCAGTTTGGTTTCTTAAGACAGATAACCAAGATTACTAGCCATCTTCGTAGTCATCGCCTACACTATGTGCAGCGGCTAATGCTCTTTCTTCAACCACAGTCGGCAGGCCTGGACTGCATACTCTGCCTGAGACCGAACGAATGCCCCGTAAGTTTTTACAAACAGTTGTTTATCGATCTGCACAAATCCTCGCCTCAGCGCAACAAACACCCGTATCGCGCATTTGGCTGCCTTTTGACATTGTGAAGAGGGTTTAATTGAGGAGGCCATTAGAAATAGCACCTAGTCCCTAAGACTGAGCCCCGGGGGACACTAAGAACGGGGTAGGGGTTGACTTCGAGGCATCAACGCACACGGTTTGTAACCTCCCTGTAAGAAAATGTGCGCTCCATGCCAGCGGCCTTCCTGATATTCCACTTTCTGACAGTCTGTTGATTAGGCGGTTTTGTGGGACGCTATTGAAAGCCTTCTTAATATTCGTGTAGATGACATCGACTCTACTATCCTCGTCCACTTCGCGAGTCCACTGTTCGATCGAGAGCGATAAACTAGAAAGGCATGGCCAGTTCTGCCTGAGGCCGTGCTGGAACCTTGAAAGAAAGTGATTCTCCTCCAGAAACTTCATTGTTGTTTTCCTATGTATGCTTTCCATTGTTTTACAAAAGATAGAGGTTAGAATAACGGGCCGGTAATTATTAGCACTAGTGCGAGCACCACCCTTGTACACCTTGACTTCTCTTTTGTTGTTGTTGGTGAAAAATCCTGGTCGAGTGTACGTTGTGGACCAGAGGGTGTGGTGGTACGCCTAGGTGCGGGCCCAGCCGCGCCAGCCACATGCGCCATCTCCCTCCTTTGGTGTTCATGACTCTGTCTCGACACCGGGTCTCAGGTGGGGAGGAGAGAGTGCGATAGATGCTATCACTATAGACTAATTCACGCGCAAGTCACCGCACCTGTTGCAACTTGCTGTGTAGCACACAGTGGACATCGTCGGGATCGACGGTCGAACTGTCGGGTTGTGCGGCATATCTGCTGGTGGAGGAAGGTGTGATGCTCTGATGTAGCCGGCGGTTGTCTTTAACAGGTGCTCATGAGCGCGCATGCGACCTTATAGGCCCATGCGGTGGTGGAATATGAGGGGGTTGTTGAGGGGGATGCGGCCAATGCAGGTTGGTACTTCAGGCGTTGGTTCAGCGGTCTCTGTGCGATGGATTCGTAAGTGACCGACCTGGCCGATGGGTGAGGTGAATATACGGAGATAGTGTGGGTGGGGTAGATTGGGAATATAATAGTCGATTATGGTGATAGTGGCGGTGATGAAACCCTTGATGGCGGGCGCGCTGGGCGACGGGGTATGGGTTGAGCTAGGTATGATTGGTGTGTAAAATGTACTAGATGTGTCGGGACTGAGGTGGCTTCCGCTCTTGTGGATAAGTATATAACCTAGCAAGCTCATACGGTGAGGGCATGTGCAGGGGCAGTGCGGGCAGTGGATTTGGATACGCGAGTGTAGGTTGGTGCTCCAGGTATCGGTTTGCTAGGCCCTGTAAGATGGATTCGCAAGTGACCAACCAGGGCGGTGTGTGAGGTGATTCTGCGATTGCACTGAGGAGAGGTATAGACCGAGTTCACATCACCATTGTTGGCGGCGGTTAGGTTGATGTTCGTTAGTGCGTCAGGGTTGCCTATGGTGGCGTTGGGGACGAGACTCGCCGCAGAAGTTGGGAAGATAGTGGAGGATGCAATGTGAGATCAGGAGAGGGGTTAGGATTTATTATCGACGTAGGGGGCGGTGCCTGGGAGACAGCAGGTAGTGTCCCCGGGTGCTTCAGTTAGTTAGAAGATATCCAATAGGACAGATTGGTGCCCCGAACGTCCGCTGACATCGTGGGTTGATCAGCGGCGGTTGACCTTTTGCGTTACCAAGTGGGGGCAGTTGGGATTTGTGAGCTTCACGTTTGACTTTGGCGGCGATTATGCGGTTGGCCCCGTAGATTTTTCGTCCTTGTCTTCACTGTTCTCCTCCAGGTCGGTCGGTCTCAGGCGAGGTCTTTCCAGTTGACCGAGTTGATCTGTAGGTACTTCGGGTAAGTCTTTAACGTGTACTTGTAACGCCGGATAGGGCCTAATTGTCGACGGAAACCCACGGCGACATCTCCATGGAAGAGCCTTTTGGGTAGTCGCTCCTTATCCATCTTCACAAGGTGGCCGCTCCAGCGCAGTTACATTTGTTCAAACATGGCGTGAATGCTGAGGATTCCTGTCCGTTTCAGTACGTCCGTGTCAAATATCCGGTCTTGTCACCTTTGCGCCTGCTCCTTATACACCGTTAAGGTCTCCGCTCCATACAACAGCATCGCAGGATAGCCGATTTGCACATATTGAGTTTAACCCTGAAGTGGAGACCGTGTAGATTCCAGGCGATGTTCCACAGACGACCGAAGGCTTGGCTGGCTTCGGAGATTTGGTGGGCCACTTGGCTATCGATTTCGGTGCTGCAAGAGAGGGTGCTGCCGAGGTGGGTGAGGGTATCCATGGCTTGCAATCGGGCGCCGTCCACGTTGATGTGAGGTGCAGTGTAGGCAGCCTAGGTAGAGGTTATTGCAAAACCACAGTTTTCTTCGTGTTGATGATAAGGCCATAGTTGGCACAGGCGGCGGCGAAAAGGTCCATGCTTCCTTTCATGCCAGCTTCCATAGATGCATTGGGAGCGGAGTCGTCGGCGACGGGAAGTTCACGGACAGTAGTTACGATTCACAGTGTCAAAAGATCTTTCCAGATGCATGAAACTAGAGTAGAGATGAATACGCAACTCCTGATATTTATCCTGTAGTTGGCGGGCGACGAAAATCATGTCCATGGTTCTGCGATGACAGCAAAGTCCGCGATGGCTTTCTGGCAGACGTCTCTGCCCCAGATGGTCGTTGGGGAAGTTGAGAAGAACGCAAACAAAGACCTTTCGGGCGATGTCGAGTGCCGAAATTCCTCTGTGGTTATCGGCATACCCGTTACCATCCAGGATCGCCTTTGTCACCAGCGCGTCCTGCTCGTCTCGCCTCCGGATGAGGACATAGTCCGGTTGATGCCGGTGTTGGGACCGAGGGTGCATCCAAGTCGTCTCCCGCGTCGGAAGGTGGGGAAGGGTGTTAGGCAGGATGAAGTAATGCTCTGTACGGGTTTGAAATAGGAGTAGGCCACTGTCGTTAGGGCCACTGAGACCATGAAGACCCAACACCCCTCTCCAGGCAGCATGGTCTGTGCCAGGGAGGGCGTTGAAGTCACTGAGGACAATCAACTTATTAGTTTCCGACAAAGTCGCCAGGAGGACGTGCAGGTCATCTTAGAATTTGTTCCTCGCCTCGTCGGAGCTGGTCGTCGGGGGGGAGGGGCGTAGAAGCTGACGATGGTAGTTAATTTACCTGCACCCAGAGAGGCAATCGAAGGTTCATTAGGTGTTCGTTGATGCCCTGCGGCAGAAAGGACAGTCATACGACGGTATCGTTCTGGATGGCAAAGGCGACGCCCGCGTCTCGTCGTTCTGCCCTGAGGCAGCCGCTCCAGAGGAAGGTGCAGTTAGCACCCAATTCCTCCAGTTGACCTTGTTCAGAGAAAAGGGTCTTACTGAGTGCTTCCATGTCCATATTATAGCCCGCCAGTTCTCCATCGACTAGCGCCGTCTACCGTTCCGGTCGGTTCGCCCCGGGATTATTTAAAAGGTAGCGGACATTCCAGGTTGCCGGGGTGAGTGGATTCATCCTAGCAGCCTGTGGGTTGAGGCGGAGGAGAGGAGCAGGAAGAAATTATTGTTTCTGCTTTGACAATTTCGACCTCATGTGTAGAATCTACTCTTCAACTCCAGGGCAGCGCTTTTGAAAGTCATAAATTTGAATGTTGAGAGATGTGACGGACAGTGATAATTTTATACAATCCAGTGTAAGGTGCTAACGTAATCTCAATTGGCGTACCGATAATTCAAGTGTCGACCTAAGTTCTTATGAAAGATTGTTCCAAAGGAAAGCACATTCCGATGCAAAATAGCGAGTGTTCAGACGTAGAACAGAGAGGCGAGGGAATCACCATGGAGCCATCACGCGGGGCATAAGACTTAACTTCGGGCATGAGGACGTCAGTACGTGGAGTAGTAGGGCTAAAATCAGTACGAAAAAAGAAGCAAAGGCCAGCTCCAGGTCTTCCAACCCATATAAACTTGATTTTCGCCAACTGACATCTCTCAGCATAGGAAATACTGGATCCAGCATGGAGGACTAGACTTCAAGGAAAACTCTGAACGTTTTCGATTTTACTATGGTCGCAGGCATTCACTAAATCAAAAAGGACAGCAATACTCGAGGGCGAGAATTACAAGCATCCAATAAACCGTATCCATTTCTGGAAGAAAAGGGTTATTGAGTCTTAGCCCACATATCGCCGCAGTCTTTGCTGAAATTTGGTCTGCATGATGTAATAAAGTAAGTTTATTTGTGCAATTTAGGAATAGGTCCTTTGCAAGGCATCCTGAGAGGGAGTTATTTTGATGGATTATGGGGCCAAAATACGCGAAACTACACGGACGAGGAAAATGCCATCTGTCAAGTTGAACTTCATTTCCAGGAACAGGGTAGATTGGAATTGATTTTCCAAAGCAAACAGCTGCATTGCCCTTTGAATATAGAAAAACACGCATAAAATCTCCAGACGAAGCGAAGCTTGTGAATTTTCGATCACTGTAAGAATATCATTGACGTAAAGAATGGAGAGCAGTGGGCTCAGAAAGGTGCCTTGAAGTATGTAACTCATGATTGGGTGAGGCTCCGGGTAGCCATTACCAACCATGACTTTCTGAGTGTGGTTGTATAAGTTTTTCAGTTTTACTAAAAGACCTTTCGGTGGCACGTGTCGAAGGCTTCACTTAGATCAAAGTGGATAACTACCACTGACTGCTGTTCATTACGCAGAGAAGTGATTAAACTAGGGAAGGCTTAGGGATAAGTTTTGCGGGATCTTTCAGGTAAAAATACATGTCAAGTAGAGCTCAGAAAAATATTTCTTCTCAAGAAGTTTTTCTAACGACAGGGTCAATGAGCTTCTGACAGTTATTGAAGTAGGATAGAGTTCCTGACCTGCACATACTCAGCACGATGGTCTGGCCGTCAACTTTCAATTCTCATTGGTATTGCTGGCGAACACGATGCCTTGCTCGAGGACACATAAATCTGTCCTCGTCTGGTTGAACTATTCTAGTGAGGTATTAAGCTCCTTCGGCTTAGCGTGTGAAGTTCTTAAAGCAACGAATAATCCAACGCAGGCATTACGCAGTAATTTTTGACGTACAAGAACAGAAAGTTGGGTTTATCGTTACCATCTACTGTGTATCAAAAAAACCAAATTCAAGAAATTGTCCCTTTGGCACTCGCACGTCCTACTCAAAAACATGTCTTCAGACGAGCGCCTTGCTGGCTCTCTGCAGAAAACGATGCTCGCAGTACAATTCTGGGTATTCCATTTGAGCAATTTTTCAGTTATTTAATAGTGCATTGCATATTCCCGTGTTCCTATTTTAATGTGGATAAGTGACAGCCACAATCCCTTTCGATTTTGACAACAATATTGATTGAACACCGGTTAGTATGCATTGCTAAATAAAAACAAGAGCTGGACACGAAACCGGACAGTTTACAAAGCATAGTCGGCAATCGAGAAGCCTAATCGACAAAGGCAAGAAGGACAAAATTAGCGGTTCAGAGTTATCTGTCACAAATAGTGCGTAGTGTGCTCACCCTTTTGCGACTGTCTCCATGACAGACTGACCCCAACTGCCACGACGATATTAGGAAAAGTCAGTCCCCATTCCGCAATAAGCAGATATTTATATACGGTGTACAGTGACTTCAGTAAGGCCTTTGTGGGGATTCCACACGTACGGCTAATATCTAAACTGCGTCAGAGGATGCCCTGGACTTACAGAACAACTCGGGTCTATCGCAACGGTGATGTAACAGGCGGATTCTTAACCTTCATTTCAGGAAATGTCAAGCCACCCGATTACGGTCCAGTTACAAAAAGACGATGAGATTTGAATATTAATACTACATCGGAGGTCACCAACTAGTCTCACTGCTCCAAGGTAGCAAAAAGGCTATGGGTACTCTGAGAGTGATGAGGAGATGCCTTCTTCACTCTGAAGAAGAGCTTTTTGGTTGCGTGTTTGGGACATTTGTCCGGCCGACGTTACAATATGGCGCGAACACATGGTGCAGCTGGATGAAGTCAGGCCACACTCTTTAGTGAACGTTCAACGAAGTGCAACCAATCTAGGCGGCCTGAAGTGCCTGCCTTTTAAGGAACGAATAGGAAGGCTCAAAGCTTTTCCCCTCACTTAAAGGCAATGAAATGGGGTTATGATCATGGACTTCAAACTTGTCACAGGAGTAGACTGTGCACTTCAGTTTGAAAAAATGACAAGTCTCCAGGGCTACCGATACAAACTGAAGACAAAGTACACCATCTTCTCCCATCGGCTGATTGGAGAAGGAGACAAACTACTTGATTCGGTTGTTCTGACGGAATGCGTTCGGACATTTGAAATAAGACTTGATAACATTTTACTTGATGGCCATTTATTTAATTAATGAGCGCTGGCGTATTGTACAAATTTAGCCATGCATACATACGCACGTTTTTTCAGCGTATGCCAATAAGAGGGCTTAAAAGACTGCCTATCTCCCTTACATATAATGAACTGTAATTATTGAAATATAGAGGCATAAGTGTTACAACCACACCCTCACAACATCACCCATTTTTTCCGGTTTTATCGGGGCTCTTGGATGTCCTTGCAAATAATAAGTAACTATGAAAACCTGTAGAACAACCAGTATGTCGATCCTTAAAGTCGGCGTTAATAGCTAGACTAAGTAAGTTAACGAAATACAGGACCAGGAGGTTGTCGAAGTTTTCTGACAACGTTTAGCCTGCCTTTAACAGTAAAGGGAGATTGTAAACCTAAGTAATCCCTGCTAGGTGTTTTTGCGCCCATCTTACGACAAGTGATCCTACCTACTTAAACAATATCACCTTTCCCAACAGTAACTTTCAGAATAAATCCAAATACGCCTTCGTACAGAAATTCGAAGGGAAACATCCGCTTCACAAACTGTAAATTCAGTCTGATGAACTGGGTGACAGTCGATCGCGAAATGAAAATTACGCAATTTCCAAAAAATGGAAATCTGCCAAATTGAGATTCGTTGCGTGAAGTGTATTTGCTACTGCAATGAATCGACTGCATAAACATGACATGAGGGAGGATCTTTATGCACTCGTGATTTTTTCCCTAAACTGCCTTGTTATACTTGTGGTAGATGAGAACTCGGCGTTCAGTAGGTTTAAGACGATAATGCGCTGCGCTCGAAGATCTTTACTAGACTTTCGATTTGCTTTTATGGTACGTGGGGTCTCTGTTCTGGTTGCTTGCGGACGGTTGCACAAAAGCAAGTTTAAACAGTTTGGAGCAAAACCAGATCAGCGTCCGAGAAGAGAACAGCTGACTACGGCGTAATCTAGAAAACTCAGACCGAATTGAGCTACGATCCCCTGAAATTTGCTGGGCGCATCATCAATTTTATTACTCCTAGTGGTAGAGTTTTCCAGTCAGTCTATCATTCACAACTATGAGATATCTCACCTACATCTTTGGATCGGCAAATTCTCTAAAGACCCAATAGTTGTCGGGCCGGAATTGTTATCTCCGGTTGCCACTTTTCCTTAGAATAAATTGCTATAGTTTCCTTACTCTGATAATTATGCAGTTCAGTGTTTTTAGAACCGATAGTCGTTACAATGAGAAAGTACAGTATAGCCTGTGTGGCTGTAAATGCTCACGTGAGGAGGCCTATACTAAGACAAAGCGCATACCTTAACTTTAGTGAGAAAATGATAACATTGTAAAGATTATAAGGAAATTCGACTCATCAAGAGATCAACCGAAAGACGCGTTGAAAAGGACACAAAAACTACAGGATTCAAAATTTACTGGTTTAAAATTTTCCCAATCAGTTCTTGTGATAAAGGAAATAAAGTATTATGATCTGAGATGTAATTTCCCTCGAAGCAAATGTGTCCAGTAACATAATACGCATGAGAGGTTACGGTTGGTCGTTGATTCTTCTACGGGTTAAAAGCTATAGTAGCAATTTCAGACTCAAGACAGCGGATAACTGTCTTGGAGATCAGAAAAACGATTGCGCACCACCACCACCACCACCACCACCACCACCACCACCACCACCATCATCATCATCATCATCATCATCCTTTTCGTCCATTTGTTTGCTCTCCTCATTTTCGTTTCCGGCCAACCGATAAAAAATTATTCCAATCGTCCAATGAAAGCAATAAAGTAGAACGGGCAAACCGCGTGGTGCAGCCTTTTTTAGTGGAAAAATAGCCTACGTTCGGCAACTTAGTGGAAATACAGACCTGGTAAGTTTAACGGAAGTAGACAACTTATGCGAACTATCATTGATGTCAATCATTAAGCAAGTTAAGAGTGGCTTTTTATAAGCAACTTTTGAATGCCCATAAATCAGTTAGGAAACCTTTAAGAAGCTGGATTTTCTTTTAAGTTGCACTAATGTTAGACCAAGCATTACGGCATGCTTATTGAGCTCGCCTTTGGAGTGGTTGATTGAACTCACTGAGTTACAAAGATACAAAGTATCAAGGCAAAACTTCAGATAACTGTAAATGCTAGAACAAAAACAAATGTACCCACTATACTTTCTGGACTGAGGGGCACGGAACCTCGAAACGCAAAATGAGATAATGGTTTCAACGACTTTTTGCTTGTTTTGGAGTTCCTGCGCTCAGCAGAATCACGTTCGAACTGATCAGACATGTAGGTGAAAAGTTTAAAGTTCTCAAGCTTAAACAGATATTATAATTTTGATGGACACAAGCGTTTATAATAGTTCCAACGACTCTTGAGGAATGTCGCAAATTCAGAGCAGCGTCTGTCGGCATGACGCATCGAGAAAGTACATTTGATGTGCTATCTCGTGACATGTCACCTGGGATTCTGAAATATGTTTCTGAGCCAAAAAGATTACTAAAGGTTGTAATATTAATAACCGTGCAGCACAACCATAAAATACTTCAGGCATAAAATGATGTCGGCTTTTTAATGAGTTTCATTTCAGCCGCCTGCAGAAACTGCACTCTGCAAATATGCTTACTTAGGTGGCGTGAATTTTTTCCGCTTCCTTCTAATGCCCTTATAAATTCAAATGTGTTACCTAGAAAAAATGCCAATACTATCCTTTCTTGCACTCATTTGACAGCAGATTGCGTCTGCTTCGGTTTTTTTTTACTTAAAGAAAGAGTACTTTCGATTTTTAAAACTTTTTAATTACAGAATAGATTTTTGCTCCATTCGCCGTTACACATGCATTTATGGTTTCAAAACTACATGCTGTACCCCTTCTGTCAAAAGGAATGTTACAGATTTCTGTACGTTGTTTAAAGGATGTCATATAGGATGCATAAGATTATGCATTGAATGTGAACCAGGATGTATAACTCCTTAGTTGCATGAACAAACGTGCCGATGCCTAGCTATATGCATGGAAATTTCACGGTTGTAAAAAATCTCAGAATGAGAACACTCTCTAAATTCTATAGGCTCCGTTTCTTCAGATTAAAACTTTGCAAAAGACACACTGTTATCAAATAAGTAGAAAAAAAAATACTTTTGGGTTTGTTTTCTACATAATATATTTGGATTTACAAGGCCATCGAAAAATAACAACAAAAATAATGCTGCTTAAGTAGTCGTTTCTGCAAAGCGTAGTTTTTGCAGACGGCCAAAACGAAGCTTATTCAAAAACCGGCATCCTGGCGTGACTGAAATATCTTAGGAGTATGTTGCAAGATAATAAGTATTGTAAACGTACTTAAGGATCTTTTTGAATCAAAAAGATAGTTCAAAATTTCGGTTAACATGTCATGCGATAGTATATCTGCTGTAACTTCAAATTAACCAGTATACTGCCGTGGTAGCTTGGAACACCAATCCATTCATTTAACACTATTTCGACTGTATGTGACCGAAAGCTATCAGGTTAATACGTGCTTAAAGGTGCAGTTTCTTTACAAATGAATTATTACAGCTCCTAGGAAACTCTTTAATACTACCGTTTGATGACTGATCAGAGAGACGGCTGCTTATGCCGGTCTTGCAAAAACCTTTTGGCTTCGAAAATGAAATTATGGTTGGACTGCAGAGCGACTTTTGCCAGGAGTCTCACCGGGTTGGGAATTTAATACTTTCCACGGTAAATCGCATTTTCCGCTGACACTTATGCTAATAGTCAGCTTGTGGACCATTTCTTTCCTCAGTGAAATCTGTAGAATCTGCAAAGAGGTCCCGATGTCCCATCGTTTTCTGAAAAGCACTCGCTCAGTCTGATGAAGGAAAATACACTACTGATATTGTTTGGTGTACCTGACCTGCGGACTCCTAATGTTGCCGGTAGCAATTGCCCGCATGATGATAAAATTACTAAGTGGATGGTGTCCAGCGTGCGGTTGTCACGACAACATTGGCGTATTTAAAACGAAGACACTGCATAGACACAGTAATTCTGCCATGAGGATGGATTCCCGAGTGTCGACCTCTCTCTCTTCCCTGTGTCATGCACCAGTCGGCTATCTTAGCTGTTAACCAGTTGGTGGTGAAGTTGGGCGTCTACGCATGACAGACCGTCTACGGTCACTCGGTTTGCAAGGATACACCTCGAACATGTCCCCCTCCCCTACGTACGTTAGATGTGCATATTCGGACTTATCACACTACGGCCATAACACCGGAGGCGGAACGGATCACGCGCTTATTGCCAGAAAGGGGTGTTTTTTGTTACAAGACGTGACGCGCGGTGTGTGTGTGTGTGTGTGTGTCAGCGGTCAAAAGGTCTGTAAGCGTGTGCTATGCCAGAATCAGCCCTGCAGTCTGGAATGCGCTGGCAGTTCCCTGACACCTGGCGTTCTGCCGGTAGATGCGCTTGGCTGTCCAGCCATGCCTCTGACCCCTGTCGGGGCGTTGTAGTTGTTGATGAAAAATCCTGATGATTTACTGTGTGCTTCAAGGGACGTGCTGTCACGCCTAGGTGCGAGTGTAGCCGCGCCAGCCACCTGTGCCCTCCTAGTCTCCGGTCTTCTTGACTTTGACTTGGCACCGGGTCCAGGTGGCGAGTAGGAAGGAGTGGGTGCGGTAGATGCTGCGCAAGTCTGATATCGCTATAAACTAAATCACACGCAAGTCACTGTGCCTGCTGTACCTTGCTGTGTAGCACATGACGGACATCGTCGGAATCGATGGTCGAACTATCGTCGTCATGTGGGCACGTAAGGCAGGGTGTGACGGTGGCACATAGCCTGTGGAGGCGCAGATGATCGACTGTCCTTTGCTAGTGTGGACAAATGAAGAGGGTGCGACAGATGTAAGGCTCCTGGCATTGGTACACCAGTCCTAGTGCGAAGGATCCGCTGGTGTCCTATAAGACCGAAGAGTGATGCAAATGTGCGGTGGCAGTAAAGACAGGATGGAACTGGGTCTAGGGAGTTGGCGGCATGACGGCGTCATTGCGGTGAATTTGACTGTCACGAATGCACATGGGCATTTAGACCTATGGGGTGTTCAAATGTCCTGGGGCGTAGGTGACGGGTGTACGTCGCGGCCACAGACATTAGTTTGCCGATCTTAGTGCGACGAATTCTAAAGTGTCTGACTAGGAAGTAAGGTTGGAAGTAAGTTCAGCACTATTGGTGATAGGGGCGGTGACGGTAATGTTGGGCATTTCGGTAGGGGTTGGCTGTTGTTGCTGATGCTGTTGTTGTTGTTGTTGTTGTTGTTGGTGGTGGTGTTGGTGGTGGTGGTGGTGACGATAGTGATGACGTGTTGTGACATGGGACGCGGTCTGGTCGTGGTGACATTGCGCTGGATATGCAGATGCCCAACGGGGCCGATCCATTCCCAGAATACTCACTGACAGTGTGAACAGGGTGGCAGGGCTTGGGTGCTGGCGTCATTGGTTCGTATTACTTGAGATCTGCAGACCACAGTCTTGGACTTGGCCGTTGCTATTCGGTTTACTTCGAAGTTGGCTGATTCAGTTAACACTATCCCGACTGTATGTGGCCGAAAGCTATCAGGTTAATACGTGCTTAAAGATGCAGTTTTTTTACGAATGAATTATTACAGCTATTAGAAACCTCCTCAATACTGCCCCGTGATGACCGACCAGAGAGACGACTGATTATACCGGTCTCGCAAAAACCTTTTGGCTTTGAGACTGAAATTATGGTTTGACTGCAAAGTGACTTTTGCCAGGAATCTCACCGGGTTTGGGTATTTACTGCCTTTCAAGGCCAACCCAGCCGTTACTGCATTTTCCGCAGACATTTATGCTAATAGTCAGCTTGTAGACCATTTCATTTCTCACCGAAACCTGTGCGATCTGCAAAGAGGTCCCAATGTCCCATTGTTTTCTGAAAAGCACTCACTCGGCCTGATGAAGGAGAATATACTACTGATATTGCGGACTCCTAATGCTGCCGGTAGCAATTGCCCGCATGATGATAAAATTACTAAGTGGATGGTGTCCAGCGTGCGGTTGTCACGACAACAGTGACGTATTTTAAACGAAGACACTGCAAAGACACAGTACTATAAGATCAGGTAAGCCACAGTGAGGACTGCCATCTTTTACATGCGTTTATCAATACTGTGACTTTTTCGATATAAATGACATGACGATAAACTCATGTTACATACTGGTTGATGTAAGAAGCGGCAGATGTAGAGTTGTGTTGACTGCACCTTGGAAAGTACAACTGTTACGAGTTCGACGTGTTCTCAGATGAGGGTGGTTGCAAACCATTCCTAGGCCCAATCCGAAAAGAAAGTAATGAACTTCACCGACCGTAAAGGGAGCTGCTTAAACTAGTTAAAATTGCCGGAGTTGCAAGTACAAGGTATGAAGGACACGCAGTTAGTTGTCGGCAATTACATTTCCTCCCACTGAAGGTCTCTTTTGTTTTTTCCATTGTTACCCTTGGGGTTTTTCTCATTCGCTTTTATACTTTTTCATTGGTACAACGTATTTTTCGAATTTTTGCAGACTCTTAATTGTTAAGCAGTTTTGTCCTGTGTCTTTGGCCTGTTTCAGAATTGTAGTCGTGAAGTGCTTTTATGTCTTTGATAGTACGCTTGTAAGCGGAGAGTGAGTAAAGACCATGAGCTCGAAAGCGGTTGACCTGGACTCATTTGACGGAGGAGTCTAGACAGCGCGTACTTGGAGATCTTACAATGTATCTTCCAGCCTAAGTGGAATGACAAACCTTTGCATACAGTTAAAACCACCAAGTAACTGCAGAGGGGTCGAGGTGGTATCTGTCAATAGCTGTATTTTTATTGATGGACGAGCAGGTCTGTAGTGGACAGCCATAATGGTTACGTCGCGCCTCTCGCTAGCGCCTGCACCTACGTCCTAGCGACAGCCTACTATGGCACGCACGTCTGCCCGACTTCGATTTGTCTCGTTGCAATTCACTGTCTGCATCACGCATTCGGTCGATTCTCTGCCTGCACCACGCGAGGCTTGTCACTACCTTCGCGTGGGCTCGGAGCCAATCAACGCAACTCCTATCGCTGATTGGTAAAACAGACGGGAATAGTCCAGAACAATAGAGTAAACAGTCTGCAACGACACATTTGCAGCGGTGACCTTCGGCGACACAGGGCTCGTCGCTCTCGCGGACGCCGCCTCCGCGGCGCCGGACGCATCCTCGTCCGGTTGCCAACTTTTCCTTTCACTATTCTGTACAGAAAAAGTGTCCTAACCAAATGGCGTTCTGCCTCTAACAACTTGGGATATGACTTGAGGTTGTGGTGTACTGAGCGTACACCATCACCGCTTAGCCGCTACAGGTCCTGTAACTCGACCGGTGAACGAACTTACGGCATAGCAAATATTCCCGCTCGCAGACGACATGACAACGAGCCTGTGACTCAGTAGTTGGAGCCTTGGCCTTACTAACGCTTAACAACCAGGAGATCGTAGGTTCGAAACCCGGGTCACCCAAGCCTGGGGTTGCGTAAGGGGACTGACAACGGCTAACTGCCTGAAATGGTTATCCCAGTCTTTTTTGTCTTTGCCGGTAATAGTCTTTTGCACATATGTAGGCATGATGGTGGAAGGGGACACACCGATCGTGTAACGGAACTTACTCGTCCCGTTTTGCCTTACGGGCTCTCTCTCTCGGGCCCAACCAGCAGCCGCACAGCGGCACATAATATAGGTAGTATGCTATTACCGACAAACACAAGGGAGACAGGATTGGCCATTTTTGACTTATTATCCGTCATCAGCCAGTCATACCCAACTCCGAAGTTTGGAAATCCTGGGGTTAGACCTCGCGACCTGTTGGTGGGAAGTCCAACGCCACTAACTACTGCGTCAGGGGCCCGTTGTCCCGTCGCTGCAATCGGATGGGTATGACTGACTAATGACGGCTAATGAGCCGGAAATGGCCATTTCAGTCTCCCTTGTCTATGTCGGTAGGGTTATTCTGCATATACATATATTTCGAAGAAAAATCGGTCCTTTGGGAAATTGGAGAAACTTTATTTCGTAAATTTTGGACGCTAGTTTTCCAGGTCGTCATCAGACGTGTAAAAAGTGTGAGAAACAGTTAAAATTTAAACATGCCTGAAAAATCGATATTGCTTTATCAGCGCTGAAGATGGGTCAATGCTGTGGGCTGACGTCACGTTTTGATTGGCCACCACCCTTTCCAATTTCCTCTGAGATATGTGTACATGATGTTCAGATCGATGCGCCGATTGATGCATGAATCATTGAAGTGAATGGCCTCTAGAAATTCTCCACCTTTCTTATACGGGCAGGAACGTACTATGCGTGTTTTATCACAAGCAAACTTGTGCCCAATTTCTAAAATATGCATGACGACTTGGGGTAGGTGGTCCCGCCTCTTTACTGCCAAATAGTGTTCATGTAGGCGTGTAGAGGCGGATTTCCCGGTTTGACCACAATATACCGCATTACAAGTGTTACATGAAATCTTATAGATTACTCCTTTTTATTCACATAGCCAACCCTATCTTTAGGATGTACAAACTAATTGCGTAGCGTAGTCGTCGGTTTGTGCGCCACTTGTATTTGGTGCTTCCTCAGGGGTTTTACAACGTGTTTAGACACACTTTTAACGTAAAGAAGCATTCGCCAATATTTTGGTATTGGCGCCTGATCGGGACAATCTACTTCCTTCTCTCTTTATTTTGATTCCTGCTGTTTCATGCATCGGCGTACAAAATCTCTAGGGTAGCCGTTTTGGGAAAAATGGTTGAACAGATAATTGAGTTCTTCTTTGTACACTTCGTTCTCAGAGCAATGTGTCTTTGCTCGATTAAGTAGGGTGTTTGTGAGCAATTGGGATTGCTTTCGTAATGTGGGATAACTCCCACGTATGCTTCTACGCGGTATACGGATGTGTGGAATGTCCCGTCAGTTTTTCGCTGTACAAGGATATAAAGAAATGGGAATATGCTGTCAACTACTTTTTCGAGCCTGAAGGTAATTCTCGGGGATGTTGAGTTAATAACGCTATGCAGCGTTTCCAGCTGACATCTCTTGAAGATGACAAAGGTGTCATCTACGTAGCTTACCCATAATTTGGGATTGAATGATAGTAGTGCCATAGCCTCTAATTTTTGCATTGTGACCTCAGCCAGAAAGCAAGAAATAGGCGACCGCATAGGAGAACCTTTCAGTTGTCGATAATATTCATGTGCGAACGAAAAATTCCGTTCCAGACATAAGTCCAAGAGTAAAAGCAAAGCAGATGCAGGAACATCGATGTCATAGGATTGTAGGAGTCCCTCAGGACACCGCCTTGCCAAATCGAAAGGGATAGACATGAATGGAGAGATGGCATCGAATGATATATTATTTCATTCGTATCAACAATAAATCATCGTATTTATCTGGAAATTCGATAGAATTCTCGATGGAAGTCTCACAATCCCTTGTTAAGGAATGGAGTTTGTGGAAAAGTCATTTAGAACTCTTATAATCCGGTGAACCGATTAATGATACTATCGGTCACAATGGTACGTCGACCCATCTTCAACATCGTGAAAGCAATATCGATTTTTCGGGCAGGTTTGAATTTTAACTGCTTTTCACACTTTTACACGTCTGACGACGACCAGGAGAACCAAGGTCGAAAATTTACGAAATAAATTTTGTTCCTTTTCCCAAAGGACTCGGTTTTCTTTGAATTATGTTCCTTGGGATGCCAATCTTCCAGTATACATATATATACGTACGTATAACATGGGCATAATGTTCACCGGTCAGGTTACAGGATATTTTCGTCCCATTGCGCCTTGGGGTTCACTCTCGTGCACTTGCAGGCAGTCGCGTAGTGATCAGCAACGACGCAAGAAGAAATACCAACAAATCTGGATTAGAATCTCAGGTTATGCGGCAAGATCTTATTTCGTAGCCGTATCTGTTAAGGGTTAGCGGTAGAGTTTAGGGTTATGGGCTAAAGTAAGGGGTTAGGTGTAGGAGTTGGGGTTGGAGGTTAGGGGCTAGTGTTAAACCCCCTATTACCACCGGTCCCGTATGGCAGACGACTGTGGCATGTCTACTGAAGCTGCAGCTACGAAATATGATCCAACCGGTTATGTAAACCTGGTGTTTGGCTTGACTGACTGATGACGGTAAGTAAGCTGGAAACGACCATGTATATGCAGTCAGTGACCAATTCCATGGGGTGTTAACCGGGATTTTAAAATGCGCTTCTGGTTAGGAAGGATAACTTTAGTGGATTAATAAGAGGATTATCGCGCAGCATAATCTTAATATTTTTCAGTCACCCAAGGAGATTCTTTTCGGTAGCATGCGAAAACAGCATTTATTTGATTATTTCCCATTGATTCTCGAAGTCTCAGCAAATTCTAGTGCATTTTCTGAAAAACCTGCTGGAAACAATTCCTTCTTATACTCGTTTGGTTGCAAATTTTATTGTCGTCAATTTTTTGTTTCAAGAAAAGATAAATTTAGGTTTTTAAAACGTTTTCAGTTCCCGAATAATTTTTGACTCGACTGCACTCAGGGTTGGCTAGGAGTGTACGCTGCATACTTTTATTGTACGGCGATAGGTCTCATGGAGTTTTGAAATGGATGCAGACCACGCTTTATACAGCATAAGCAGCATTATCAATAAGGACAAATAGGACGTTGTATGAACATTTCGCGGTCTTAAAAATCTCATAAAAACAAAATTTTAAACCACAAGAAGACGCGAGTTGCTGCCAGTCGAGTGCAAGGACAGATATATTTGTACATCTTTTCTGTAAAATATACTTAAATTTTCACTGAATAACCAAATCACAGGAGTCAGCATTTTTAACACTCAACCGATATGGTCCTTGTGTTATCCTGGTCAAGTGTAATTGTTTCCACAGTTAGAAATGCGGTATGGAAGCGTACGGCGAAGGAAGCCCCGAAAAAAGTCCAAGAAGGGTCCTGTGGGTTTCGCACGTCATGTGAATGATACTCCGATCCCTGACTACCATCCACTCACCTACAAGCAGGTAGGTTGGAACCGATTTGAGATCACTACTCGAGTAGTTCTGCGAATATCTGCACTCTCACAAGGTCGGCAGGCATGAGCTCTTCAATGTCAAGCTCTCAACTGCTGTTCTGGAGGCATTAACACCTGGCGAAATAGCAGACCTGAAAGCTCTCTTTGACCAACAGGACGCAAACAATGACGGGTAACTCTCGGCAAGGCGCCTATAAAACTTGGTCTACAGCCTCATCACTCTCCATCAATTCACGCAGGCCCTGAACATTCTCAATCTCTCAGCAGAACAGGAACTGCAGGAGACCCTCTATCGACAGTACTGCCTGCCGGGAAGGTAACCTACTAATTACTCCAGTTAGTCTGCACACTCTAAGTCTCCTAGATATCGACGGCTTTCTGAGCACCGTGACGAAATTGCAGGGTACACAACATGACATAATGGACGAGATCAGAGCAGTCTTCAACCGAATGCTAATAGGTGGTGGGTCCCAGCCTTAGAGTAATTCTTTAAGGAAAATGAAGTGCTCACCGTATCGAAAGACTTGATCGACTGACGTTTCGAAGAGCTGCGGCGGCTCTCCATTATAAAAGCTTCTAGTGTAAAATCAATCAGAATTTTGAATGGACAGCCGGATTAGTTGGCCGTGGGTTGATCGATTGTCTTCTTCTTTCGCTGCCTTAGCTTACTGGCCATCGACTGTGAGTGTTGGTGGCCTCCTGTATTGTGTGTCGTCACCTCAATTGGAGTTAGTTGCGTTTGCGGTCCCATTTTTGGCTGAATTGGTCGACAGGCCGTGTTTGCTCGGTATTCTTAGGCTCCGTATGACTATCTTGCCTTCGCCACGGCGTATGTAATGACGTCGGACTTTAAAAGGCCGAAGGATGGTCTAGATGCCTGTTGATGGTGTTGGCATCTGAGTACCAAGCCTCAAGTGTGAGACGCTCTGTCCTTGAGGTGTCCCTGCCTAAGATGGCTGTTCCTTGAAAATCAAAACTGTGACCAGTTTCCCCGATGTGAGCCGCAAGCTGTGAGTTTTGACCTAGTCTACGAGTTGCCAGTTTGTGCACATGTAGGCGGGTCAGCAATTTCCGTCCGGATTCCCCAACGTGGTTGCAGTCTCCATCGTTACAACGTATTTGGTAGACAACTGCTGAGGTTTCAGTGGGTGGCAGTATGTCTTTGGGTTGCATCAAACGGCGACGAATTGTTGCCTGGGGTCGATGGGCAATGCCTACCCTGGCGGGCTGTAACAGTCGTGAAACTGCCTCGGAGACTCCTTTAATGTAAGGGATAGCCCTCCAGACTTCGGGTTGTTCTTGTGGCCGTCGTCTGTTGACTCGGCGCCTGCTTTGTTTTATGAAGTAGCTTGGGTATCCATTGATTCGAAAGAGGTCAATAAGGTATTGTCGTTCAAATCTTTTGTCGGCAGTGTGCTTCAACTCGTTGGAATGGAGTATGGATACGGCCGCGTTTGTGGGAGAGGGGGACGCAAACGCAACTAACCTCAATTGAGGTGACGACACACAATACAGGAGGCCACCAACACTTGCAGGCGATGACCAGCAGGCCAAGGCAGTGAAAGAAGATGAAAATCGATCAGCCCAAGGTAAACTAATCCGGCTGCCCATTTAAAATTGTGATCGACCTTTCACTAGACGCTTTTATAATAGAGAGCCGCCCCAGCACTTGGAAACGTCAGCCGAGCAAATCCCTCGATCCGGTGAGCACTTCATTTTCCTCAGATTATCAACCCGGATATTTTACTTCGGCTTACCTGAATTATTCTTTAAATTTAGATGATGAAGATGGCCTCTCGTTAAAGGACCTTACGGAGCTCTGTGAAAGCATGGGTCTTAACTACTCTAATGAGGAGCTGAATGAGATGTTCCAGGCCGCCGATACAAACAACAGTGGCACTGTGGAACTGGATGAATTCACCAGTATCATGTTGAAAACCAATCTCTTTCGTGATTTGGCAAAATAATGACTTTTGAGAATAAACGCATGTCAGGTGAACTCTACTGGTACTTTGTGTCAGACGCAAACCGAAGGCAAAAACCACCGACATCAGGACATGAGCAGAGGTTTCGTAACTACGTTCTAAAATACCCTAGTGCCGTGCATTAAAGGAAGTATGCGAAGAAGGCTAGCGCAGAAAAACCAAGAAAAGTTCACCGGTGGGTAGATGATGATTCGCAGAAAGGTATACTTGCATACGAGGCAATATGATACGCGCACGTAATCGACATACGCACATAGAAATCTTGAAGCGCAGATAATGTCTATAGGTCTTGTAGCGCAGTTGTAATCTCCGAATCCACAGAATTATCTCGGAGTGCTCATCCAAATGTGACCGACGAAATATTTCAGTTATGGCTACAGCTAACTAGGCACTATCAAGTTACACACGATCCGCGCATAGTTTAAAGGTTAGGTCAACACGATTTTGAACCACGAGTGAACGAGGGTGAACGGCTGGGAACCTTCTCCAAGTCTAATGTGCGCACCCCAATCAGGCCAGTTAGGGAGGAAATTATTGTGTACGCCACTTGCAACAGTATTACCGAATTTTAATGTATTTCCAGATAGTAGTACGCGGAGCCATCGCAAATGCAGCTGCCGATGCGGTTCAAGCCTGTTGGGAGTGCAAGGCGGGTCATCGTGAAGCTCATTGACAAGGTGCCTTGTGAATAATGGCGCCTTTATCCATCGGAGGTTAACCTTTGAAATCCTTTTACAGTAGGTGGGCTAACTCATGAAATGTCAACCGAAATTTCGAAATGCGTTCTCGTTTCGAAAAGACTAATTAAGTAGGGTTGCAAAACCAATCATCTTGCAGAATACTTCTGTAATAATTCAGTTACCTCAGGGTGCCGGCTTTCGAACGAACTTATTTCCGACTGCATGCAACATCTTTGCTCTGCAAACATGACTACTTAAGTAGCATGCAATTTTCTCTTTGATTTTCGATGCCCTTAAAAGTTCAGTTATATTTCCTGCAAGACATGCATACAAAATTGTTCTTCTATTCATTGAGTAGAACATTACTTCTAATTTTAACTTTATACTCTAAAGAAGGGTATAATTCGGTTTTAAAAAACTTTTCCAATTCCCGAATAATTCTGAACCTGATCTTCTGTCATACTTGCATTCAGGGTTTCAAAACTACAAGCCGTATATTTTCCAAGTATGGAAAAACGTACATTTCTCTATGGTATTAAAAGGAGACCAAATGACGTTCATATAATTAAGCTGTGGTTTTGAGCAATATTGTTAACTTTTCAAGCCACATTGGTAGATACTAATACATGACGTTATGTGAGCGGTCATTTTACGGTATTAAAAGTCTCGCATTAGAAACTTTTTTTGAAACCGAATTATACACTATTTTCAAGTATAGAATTGAAGGAAAACGTAATTTTCTACCGAATAATTAAAAGAATGAATATTTTCATGCATCTTTTCATGAAATATAATTGAATTTTTAAGAGCAGCGGAAATCAACGAGGAAATTGCATGCTAATTATGTAGCCATTTTTTGTAGAGTGTAGATCTTGCATGCAGTCGTAAATAAGTTTATTTGAAAGCCAGCATCCTGAGGTAACTGAATCACCGTAGAATAGTGCTGCATGCTGAGTAGTTTTACAACCCCGCTTAATTAATCTTTTCGAAACGAGAACGCATTTCGAAATTTCGGTCGACATTTCATGAGTTCATATTGACTTAACTGTGAAAAACTCGGTGCCTCGGTGGGATTCGAATCCACGCAGAAAGGGGAAGGCTTTAGTACAGTCAACGCTCTAACCACTTGAGCTACGAGGCCCCGCCGGACGACGCGAGTTTAATCATATTTGGGTCAAGTTACCCGCCAAACCTACTCAACGTCTAGAATCCACCAAATCTGATACAGTAAGTTGACTGTCCGGGCAGGATTTCATCTAGAATCCACCAGATGACTACCAGGCTTACGTACTTCATAGATGTTTTGACAGATTTTGAATAATTCATACTGACGCAACTTCGAAAAACTCGGAGACCCGGTGACTCCTCGGGACGCCAAGTTTTTTACAGCTTTACTGGACGCCTAAAATTTTGTAAACCACTGAATACGTCTCGCCAGATTTTATTCTGTCTAGATTGATAATATGGAACAAAATGTATTCGTGCAGAACAAGTTCCTCGAAATCTTGGTACTGCGAAGTATATTCTTAGGATTATATGACGCGTTCATTCTTTCAATAAGCGACCTGCAATGGGCTACCGCCTCAAAATTCAGCAACCTGACTGGCGGATGGTACTAGCGATACTGAGGACCTTGTCCAAGAGTTAAACATTGCGCCCCCTCGCAAACGTTTACTGCAGAATCCGAGACAGATAACGAAATTGCCTTTCTGCACAGGCAAGAGGGTGGGTATAACCAGCACAGAATGTTCCGAAAGAAAACCTGGACGGGACAACACGTTAATTTCCACAGCTTTTCAGTTTCAGTTTATTAAGGGAAATATAGGCGAGCGCCTTTGAACTCCCTATTGGTTACAAGTCGTCGGAGAAAAACGTTGATAGTGGGAAGGTGAAAAAGGGGTTTTGTACATAATCTTTGACAGCTAGTCAAAAAGAGTAATCAATAACGGTTACTAATTAGTTACAAGTAGTATAAACAAGTTTAAGTTGGTGCCGGGTTATGTGAGTGGATGTAAGGCTGGTAACTGGGACGCTTGATGCGCGTCAAGTCTAAACTTAAAGGAATTCACACAGGAGGAGGTTGCAACATCGGTGGGCAGAGAATTCCACGCTGCAACCACTCTGTGACTGAAAAAGAACTTTCTTCCATTGATCCTTGCTTTCCCGGCGCGTAGTTTTAGGGGATGACCGCGCAAAGTGGGCGTGTTAGCTTGTGTGAAATAATCAGTGGGATCTAAACAACAGTCTAGGCCGTTGATAATGCAAAATGCAAGTACAAGGTCACCACGTAATCGCCTGTAGGAAAGTGGAAACAGGTTGAGAGTTGACAGTCGGGATTCGTAAGACAGCGCTCCCAGACCTTGTGTCATTTTGGTCGCCCGTCTATGGACCTTCTCAAAAACGGTATAGTCCTTGGCAGCCGAAGGTCTCCACGCCTGTATGGCGTATTCTAGATGAGGCCGCAAGTAGGTGCCTAGTATTTTTGAAAACCTGTCTGGGTCAAATGCCATAAATGCTCGCTTAATGAGTTGCAGCGTAGCCATAGCCGATTTAGCAGTGTTGGTTTGAGTGAAGATGTAATCCATACACCCAAGTCCTTCTGACTGTCAACCTGTTGCAGTGGTGTGCCGTGTAGAAAGTAAGTCCTGGGGCTGGAGGCTCTGACGCTGCCTAGTTGAAGAAAGTTGCACTTGCTTATATTGAAGGGCATAAGCCAGCGCTTCGACCAGTCTTCGAGCCTGTTCAAGTTTGCTTGCAGGTGGTCTGCGCCTGCCGCATTGTGAATAACTTTCCACAATTTAATGTCGTAGGCAAACAGGATGGTATCACAGTCTAGGTCCTTGACGCAGTCATTGATGAAAACGAGGAATAGCGTGGGACCTAAGACTGAGCCCTGTGGTACGTCACTCAACACGCTTACCTCTGAGGACTGCTGACGCCCGACCTGCACTCTTTGGGACCGTCCAGCCAAAAAGCTCTGGATCCATACAAGAAGGCGTCCACGAATTCCAGCGTTGCGCAGTTTGTGCAAGAGACTTTGGTGGGGAACGCCGTCGAAGGCCTTTTTAAAGTCGATGTAGATGGCGTGCACCACACTACCCCTAAACATCAAGCGAAATTTAGTCCAGGGACTGGCGGCTATAGTAAGGCGCATCTGCCCACCTGAAGCTATTGAAGCAGAGCACCAACAGCTGCGGAACAGTTAAATAGATACCCAGATAGATTTATCTTCCGAAATATTGGGGAACACACCGCAAAGCCCACTGTAGCGAATGCAAAAAAGAGAGATGTATTCATAAGATTGACTTTTTCAGGAGACGCAATGAGCGAACTAGTCAGACGGCGCTTAAATACAGCTATCACGACGGCATTTCCCGCGGCGAGTTTACGCGTATGCTGCACAAATTCTCCCCTCCTACGTTTGGGAGGTAAAGACAGATTACCGTTGGAGGCCACACCAATGTTCATTTACTCATTCATTTGCTCCTGTGGGGCTGGATACATTGGCCGTACAAAGAGACGCCTGATAAAGAGGGTGCGCGAACATATGCCCGCCTGGCTAGACAGAGGTGAGACCCGATCGGTTTTGAGCTCTATTCTCGCACAATTAATCGATAAGGATCGCCGAGTCGATCCCAAGGAAGCATTTCAGGTTGTCTATCGGACACCAACAAGCTTCTCTGAAGGCCTACGCCAACGGATACTAGCAACGGCCGAGGCAGTGGCTATACGGCTGGCGAATCCGGTGCTATGCTGTCAGGAAACGCTGACACAAGCGCTCTCTCTACCGCGGCGAACGCCAACCTCAATCAGTGACGACATGTCGCCTCAAATCCCTAAGTAAAGTGGTGGGTACTCCGTGTACTCAATCCAAGAACATCACTAAAGGACTCTCTTTCCCCTTCCCTTAGCCCTGAGGACCAAAATCCGCCGACCTCCTCATGTGGGCGGTGTGATGCAGAGGAGTGTTAATGACTTAGTAACCCTTTGGACATCTATAAACATTGTTGACTTTGTATATTTTCTTCCTCCATGTAACTGTATTGGCCTGACAAAGATTTACCGAAAAAACGTGTTTGCCAACTTGACTTTTCAGACATATTTCATAGAAAATATGCATTAAAATATATATTCTTTTACTCAGTCACGTTTTGTATTTGAAGGAAGGATGTCCTTCGGTTTTAATGAACTTTTCCCACGCCCGAATAGTCTGGAACCCGACCTGACGTTTTGCTTCCATCAGGGTTTCCAATCTACAAGAAAACCATAGAAAATCATACATTTCTAAACGTTATTAAGAGA